GTTGTTCTACTTCATGACGCACTTCTACCGTTGTGCTCAGGCCAAGGGGATTTCACTTTAAAGCAAATATACCTGGTTATGTGCAAGTTGTTTGCTGTTGTGACATTCAGTCATTAAATAATTTCTGGAACCTAACACGGCTGCCAAAACACACAGCACACAGTCTGGCAACCATGACCATGCCCATTCAGTACGCGCTGCTGAGTCTGTGACTCAGGCTAGTTGAACAAGTGCACTGTGCTCCGAGGGGGCTGGAGAGAAGCAGAGCCTGGTACTAGATTCTTTACTATATATGTTTCCCTTCAGCTGAAGTGTCCCGAATGTCACCGGCTGCTGGCACGTTAGCCACAATGGTTCTGTGGCACTTCAAAGTCCCTTTTAGCATAATTTCCTATAGAAACCAAGGCTGTGCGCTCCTCCACTGTCAGCCGTTGTGCGTATGCATCTACCTATAGTAGCCTCTGAACCTGTTGGCCAACTTCAAGAAGCCTGCCTAGTTGTTGTTGTGGAGATGAGCAATTTCATGAGTGTCTTGAGAATTGGTAAGCAGCTGGAGGAGAGAAGTCCTGAAGCATGAGTCAGCTGTAGGACTCACACCTGGGGGAAACAAGGCTTCTTTGGTTTGCTGCTTGTGGAACTGCTTGATCTAAGTTTAGCACTTCTCAGGGAAGAACTGTATTCCAGATGCCAGGAAAGACAACAATTAAAGAGGACTCTGAAATGCTTGCTTTGAACTCTTCAGAAATGATGAGCAGGATCTTGTAAGAGGGTCAAGTGAACAACAGTTAGTTGTCCAGATCACTGAAGGAATCAACACCCATCAGTAGATGTTGAGGCCAGATGCATGCCTAAGCAATTACTCCTTTCTACAGTCCTGTTCCAACTCTGCAGGGTCTGAAGTGCAGAATCATCTACCTGTTTCTGATGTGATTATATAAAAATTAGAGTATTTGCCTAGCACTGCTTCTGCCAAGGGCCCTTGCATTCCCTTTTGTTCTGTTTCAGCATAGCCCTTGATTCCCAAGGGAGCCTTTTCTCCACCAGTCTCCATTCTAGAGGCTGGGAAGCATTCTTGACCCTTCCCAGGGAAATCTTTATAATTTTTTGGTGGAATAATTTATCAGGAGAAAGGGAATGAAGACTAGCATGACTGTGCACCTCAGCGTTAGGATATGCAGCTCAGAGAGACCTGGATTCCCATCTCCTCTTCCAGAGCTGCTTCTGTCTTCTTATCTGATGAATATGTACATGGCAATTTAAATGGATAAAATACAGAGGCAGCACTGGAAGCAGAGACCAGTCACCAGAAAATCCTCTCCCAAAGGACAGATTTATTAGATAGTTATTAGATGAGAGGTGGGCCATTGTATCACTGGCTACCAAACTGACTCCTGAACTGCCTGTGGCGTTGTCCTTGCAGGATTAGGCAACAGCTGATTGAGACTTTATCAGCGCTTTGCATTTAGGTACATAATTTCCATCAAAGTCCCTTTCACGCAGCAAAGAGCAAAAGCCAGAAAGTTGGTTTTGTGTTGCATCATGTAAAAATCTATTGGCTGCATAAGGGAGAAGGCTCCCTGAAACTCCAACAGATGCTTTTGGTTGTGCACAGAGAAGTCCCACTTACATGGAAAAGGGTCCTTTAGACAGAACCATAAGGCACTTTGGGCTGCCAGCAGTTCTGAGGAATCAGCTGAATATTTTGCAGATCACCCAAAAATGCCTCAGCACTTTTCGCTGCCGTGTCCTGTGTTGGAGCCAAGCTCGCTTGCTCCCCGCTGTGTTCCAGCAGCATAGAGGTCAGTTCCTCAATGCAGATAAAGATTTTTCCCATGGCACAAGACAGCTTAAGAGATGATCTCAGCTTTTTTCATGCAAAAAAGAGATGGTGATGAGAAAGCAAAAAAAAGAAGAAAAAGAAAAAGTCTTTAAGTGATTCAAAGCCCATTTCCTCTGGACTTTATCTTGCATCCTCCCACTTGTGCCAAGCGGGACAAAGCTGGGGTGAGTTTATTTTCCATCCCCCTGATTGTTGCAACATCTTCTTGGAGTCTCCTCTTAAAGCTGGAGAGATCCTGAAGAAAAAGAAATGCAAAAGTGGTGACTGGCTGCCTTTGCCCCATATATAGCTTTGGTATCTGGGTTACTCTGTTTTGTCTGGTGCGTATCTGTGATACTGTCTATTTATATCCAATTCTGTTTCCTGTCCACACTCAAGCAGCACCATTGTATCTCCCAGACCTGTACAGTGGTCTGGAAGCGACACATGTACACACAGGCCAGAAGTTGTCAATATCTCCCATTTTTTTTAACTGGGACAGCTAGGAGAGAGGCTTAGGGTGGATGAGCTTCCTTGACCAGTGAGAGCTGGAGACTGGGAGAAGTGCATTCCTTCGTGCTGCAGCTTCAGATAGAAGGATCTGCAGGTCTTTGGGTTGGTTTCAGCTCCAAAACCAGGGTGGAGAGTGTCCTCCTCAACTCCAGCCCAGAGAAAGGGAATTTTCTTGGTCCCAAGCCCTGCGCCAGCGAGCTGGCCGGCAGTCCCAGGAGAGCAGCTCTGCACCAGGCTGGCTCACTCCCCAGCACAAAGCCGTCAGCTCCCCATTCCTCAGGGATTTAATGGCTTCAGTGTGAGCAGCAAGACTTTAGCCTCTAAACCTCCACAGCGTGTGGCCCTGGCACTTAGTGGCGCAGACCTAAGAGCTGGACGCAGACCTAAGAGCTGGACGCAGTGTTTCACTCAGTGCACTCGCTGGAGGTGATTGCACCGCAAATTGCCTTCTCCAGGGAAACCCTCGGCACCCTCCGGTGGTGCCCCAAGCTCCGCTTCGTCCCATTTCTAACAGTGCAGTCCTCGTTTTGCTTTTTTTTGCAAAATTGAGGTCTCGGTATCCTAAACGTAACTTTCAAATGCAACTGCAGGATCTGCATAATTGAAACTTTTGCTCTAATCTCATTACTTCCCTCAGGCAATTCCTGACAAATGGAGATTATAAGTGAGGGTCTGTAGTGAACATAACTAAAAAAAGGCATCTTTAATGTTTTTGCAGTGTGTTCAAAGCAGCTTGGGTGCTGAAGCACAGAAAACTCATTTCCCTTTTACCTGAAATGCCATTACGTTTATTGAATTAAGAGTGGCATTCATGCTAGAACATATCCATATCTTTTTGTGATTTTGCATTTGTCATAACTAAAAGATCTCACTAAATATTTCTCTATACTTCTAAATAATATTGCCTGTCATGTAATACTTGTCTCAGATTTTCCTCAGTGACTGTATCACAGCTGAAAAAGAGCTATCACAGAAAATAAAATGGGACTAAAATAACAGTCCTTTGTATTAAATTTAACATTTGGCTTCTGTCCCAGAATATTCCACATCCATATTAGAATCAGATGGTAGTGTAAGATGAAAAGATTTCCTGGATGGGTTTTATTCTTATTCTTATTAAACGGCTGATAACAGGCTAAAGGCAAGATACTTGTTGTAGTAAAAAAGTCTGCCTAATATCGAAGGCTGGATGGACAAGCTGACATGTATTATTGTTAGGCCTCCCTGCTTGATCACATTTCAGTATCATAAAAATCATTCTGCTAGTGAACATGAAATATAAAAATTCCAGCGTGAAAGCAAAAAGCCCAGGCTGGCAGGTAACGCTTCTTTGGGCACACTGCTTTATGCTTAGTAGCTGACCATAATAAGACAATACAAGGGTTTAATAGCAAAAAGTAATGTTGGTGACAGCACAGTGTAGCTATATTTATTTTAAATTTTAGTTATTCTCAAATATTTGCATTCATGAAAGGCACTCCCTCATCCTGACTTACCTGTGGAGCTGGTATCTCGTGTGATGTGACAGCGTAGGGCAGCCCCATCAGTATTGCTCAGCCTTCTTCAGAAGCTGTGCGTCCTCTGCCCTGTCCCTGAACCAGCGCTTGCCCTGGGTTCCTTTGGCAATCTGGAGACAGGAAGATCAAAGGGACCTAAATACTCTTCAGAAAGCAATTTTCCCTTTACTCAAAGCAGCTTTGTATAGTACTTATGTATGATTGGGCTTAAATTGTACAAACGTTTGCAGGCTCTGGGTATTCTATGCAAAAACAATTACTTTTGATAAAATGAAGGAGTGGTGCTTTCTAGTGTTGCTCTTCTACTGTAGTGGAGACTGTGAGCATGATATTGGAGCTATAAATTAGATTTTGCAAAGCAGCTCTTCTGCAGGGAGTCTGCTGCTTCAGACTGACAGGCTATAATTAGCATTTTCTTGGGGATATTTTTGCTCTGGTTTGACGCAGTATCTTCAGCAACAAGAGCAAAGCAGCAGTTGCAGGCTGCATTGACCCTTCATTTCAGCTTGTGATCACAAAGGGTATTGAAGAGCAAATATGCTTTATAGATATCTTATGCTGCTTTTCTAAATATACCTTTTTAAAGCAACTGGTACGTGGTTTGAGTTTCCAGGCAGAGAATTGTTTCACCAGCACTGGGTGTTTACAGTGTCGACGTCAACATCTGAGCTTATACCCAGTGCTTCTTTTACAGTCAATGGAGAGAAACATGCATGTTTAGAGGAGTAATTAATCTGATTATTTTAGACATCTTCTTTCCAGTGAGATAGATTGTATTCTGGAAGAGCCTATTTCTCTCCTTCGCAATAATTAATCCTAGTATAATTAGTTCAGGAGGGGCTATCTGTAGTTAGGTGAGATGGATCTCATACAGCATGTTTCTGAACAGCACTGTATTCTCACTCTGCTATTAATGCTTTTTTGTTTGTTTTTAAATGATCAGATTACCATAGGGAATACGCAAAGAGATCACTTGTGTTTGTAAGAAATACTTGTTTCAGTCCCTAAGAGATTTTTTACCACTGATAATTACAGCTACCCTAATGCTTCCTGTGAAAGCTGTTTTGGTAGTTGTATTGATCCTGTCCTCCGTGACTCGGGTACCAGTTGGATGCTAAACATCATTTCGGATGGCGAGTGCATTCTGGGGCATGTCGGGTACTTGGGCTGTACTAAGGGACATAGGGCAGAAATCCCTGAGAGATCATGGGACTTCCTTGCACTCTCCTGTAAACAGCTTCAAGGAGGCCAGGTGAATGGGGCTGTAGCACAGACATGCCTGTTCTCAGGAGCGTTACTACAGCTGGGATGAGGAACAAGGAAGCACAGTTTGTATTGGAGAACAGTGTTGATGCCCTGTTCATTTGGGTTCACCTGAACCATGCTTATGGGTTCATTCAAATAGAAAAGCCCTCAAAGCTGGTCTCCTCAAGATGAGTTTGCCATATATGACAGGGCGCAAAGGGTAAGTAGCATCTTAGGAGGCAGAAGAATTTCCTGTGAACAGCCCTCAGCAAAAAAATAGAGTAATACCTAGTAACAAAGGAATCAAAGTTATTTCTGAAGTGTATAAACAGAGTCACAGAACAGGAGTACTAAGGTGTTATTGGTCCCATGTTTGTCATTTGTCACTATATCATACTGGTGCAAGCAGATTAATTTTCAGAGGATGATGGCTGCTGGAAAAGTGTTCCTTGAAAACCCTTCTTGTTCACTACCCCAAAACCTGTAATTACTTTTGGAAGTCTTGGCTTTGTAATAGAATTCTGATAACTGGATTATTGACACCCAAAACCTCAAGACACCCTAGTATGGTCCACCGAGCATTAGTTTTCCTCTAATTAATCTTACAGTTGATTATGTGAGTAATTTTTATAAGTGAGTATGTATTCTGTTTAATTAATGAATTCTTTCACCTCAGCTTTGCTTATTCCCTCTTTGTCAAGGTCTTACATTAATATTTGCAGCATTGTGTAGTGACATGTGTTTTCTTCTTCTTTTTTCATTTTTCCTTTTTCTCTTTTTCTTTTTTTCTTTTTCTTCTTTTTCTTTTTCTTCTTTTTTTTCTTTTACAGATATAACTGAAATTGCACCATGTATTTTGAAGACTTCACCAACAGATCAGCAGCTGAACAAGCTTGCAAGGAGACTGGGACCCGAATGGGAGCATATAGTTCTTTGCTTGGGTTTGTCCCATACTGACATCTATCGATGTAAAGTCAATCACCCTCACAACCTGCAGTCACAGATCGTAGCTGCGTTCGTTCTGTGGAGACAGCGTTTGGGGAAAAAAGCAACAATCCAAAGTCTGCATGCCAGTTTGATGGCAGAAGAAGTGGATCCTTCGGTGATACAGTACATGCTTGAGTGAAGCTTTGCTATTGATTGGGAGCTTTCAAGTACTTTGTTAAATTAAATAAAGAGGATTCACTGAAATGTATGTTGAAGATCTGACACCTCAAACTGGAAAAAATGGGGTTGGGAACTGTGTTTTAACTAAGTTTAAACATTCCAGTTTTCTGTGGCATCTTGTGACTTGTAATTCTTTTCATGCCAGATTAATTTTTAGCAGGCATTAAAAAATGGTTTCTGTTTGCTTTTGTACTATTCCAGTGGGGATATAGGGTGACACTTAAAGTCCTTGCAAGCAGGAGGCCCTGCAGTGAGTTCAGCAAGGTTTCTGGTTTCATTGCGGGAGCAACACTTGGTTTAACCTATTTTCTGGACTATGTAGGAGCCTTTTTTACTGCTGTTCCGTGCTAGTTCCCTGATATCCCAGCAAGAAATGAGAATAATCACTGTTACTAATTTAACAATTTTACAACAGTTATTGCAGGTGGCTAATTTCACATTTATAAAAGTTTTAGCACATACAGTTTCTTGCTAGGATAGATGGCTGCCACCTTAGCCTGCCTTTGAAACTGGCCCTAAGTGGAAGTAACAGGAACCTAGTGTGCCTGTGAGGGTTTTTCCTCTTATTATTTCACGGGTGTAGGTTTCTACCAGGAGACAGGCACCGTGCGCGTATGCCATCTCTTAGCGTAGCACGGGTGGGGAGTTCTCAGGGAAGACAGGCAGTAGAAAAGTGATCAGAAGATAGGCAGGAACAGGCAAACAGAGTGAGAAGGGGCCTAACAAATGAGACAACTTCTAAGTTGTCTGTGTTTGCCTCCACTAATAAACTGGGAGACAACCTGGTGCCTGCATAGCCTTTGTATTGTGCTCTGGATCCAGGCAGTCATGTTGCACAGAAGTTTTACTCTTAGGTCAAGTGTCCGTAGGCACCTTTCCCTGACCACTGCATGCCCAACAGGCTACTGAAGCTTGCAGGTCCTTTTTGGTCAAGATGAACTCCCCACTGCTCTCCTTTCAGCTTGTGCCATCCATGAGGCTCGTTTGCTTTCTGCCAGCTTTTCTGCACCCAATGGAGGCAGCTTTGACACTCCTGTCCCTGGTTCTTTGCCAGCTGTAGTTGCACCACCAGTGATTATTAGATTTTATCCAGAAGAACAGTAAAGCTTGGACTTTTCTCCTGCTTCCCTCCTGTCAAGGAGATTTTCTTCCTGCTGGAAGAAACCACAGAGGTTTTTGCCGACCAGGTAGGCGGGCATCAGTCCACAGGGTATGTATCCAAAGATGATAGAGGTGCCCAGCTGCACTCTCAGGCCTGATGGTAAGAGGCAGAATACGCTTTAATTCTCCCTGAGCAGTTTGCTGTACAGTAAATGAAGAACAAAGTTGCGATGCAGGTTTTCCAGGTCTATTTATGAGCAAGTTACAGTAGATTGTTTCATCTAGAGAGTCATTGCCAAGTAACTTCCCATCTTACAAGATCTGCCCTATATAATTTAACAGCTTAACAGCCTTGTCAGAAGTCTTTATTGGGGCAAGAATGAACTTTACTGCCTTTTTTTTTTTTTTAATTCTTCCTATACCCAGATTTTGGAAGACATCTGGGAAATTAGGAAAGACAAAGCGACTTTAAGGAAATCCTGCCTGCCTTGATTTTCAGAAGCATGGAAACAGAAAACATATCCTGGCAGGACCAGGTCTGGTGGTATTTTGGTTTTAATCTTCTGTATATAGTTCTGACCTTCAGTAAATCGTGATCCTGTTGTACCTCGCTCAGATCTTAACTAATCATATCCTACTATGGCTGCTTACAGAGTTTAAGTCTATCAACAAATCCCAAATAAACAATGTAAATCATTTTAGGTCTTGGGATTTATTTTTCTGTTTCATGATGCTTTAACGCCAACATGTTCTCTTTTTGATTGAAAACCACCCTAGAGCAGGCGTACAGACATTTGGCAAATTCACATGAGCATGGCCCAGCATAGGGAGCAAGTGTGATGAGGACTCTGAAGCAATTCTGCCGGTGAGGTGGGCAGCAGCGTGGTCTGCATGTCAGGGAAGAGGAGCAAAGCAGTGTCCCTGGCAGCAGTTGGGAAGAACAGAAGCTGGAGATGGGGAGTAAGAGAAACTACTGAAAACATGGTTTAGAGGAAGAAGGTGTTTCCTGATAAGATAAATGCAAGTACCTTATCTTGTTCTGAGCCAGCACGGACCAAGTCTTAACAGAGACTGGTCTCCAAGGGAGCCATCCCCAGTTAACCCAGCATGAGCGCAGTGCTCCGGGAAGGCAACCAGTCCAGGGGATAAAGCAGTGTAATGGGCACACCCACGGGGGGACCCTGGTACCATCTCCTTTGGGTGAACTTTGCATTCCATGCTCTTCATTTGTAAGACCAATGACAGGTTATCCCTAACTAATATATTTAGAGTCTTTTTAATGGTTAAGAAAACGGCCTGGAGTAGGTATGAAGTGTCGTGCCAAAGAAGCCTTCTTACAAGGCAGGTGTCCTGCTGTGTATCTACTATGGGCCCCTGGAAACCTGATGGGTGAGTATCATATCAGGTAATTTCTCCATTTCAACTGGTCTTTAAGTGGGCTAAATTCTGCATCCCAGTGGTGGTACTGAAATTACAGGAGCCACAGCTAGACAAGGAATTTAAAACCTGGCCTCTCCTATTGTAGAACAAAGCGGTTAATTCATAATTTATAGTTACTTTCACATTCCCAGGCCCTACATTAATGCTGTAATACTTGAGTTGCAAATATTGAAGGGAGAGGTTTACTTATTTTATGAGATTGTTTCCATTGCTGTTATTTTTAAATTCATGGAAATGTTCCTATTAGACTCTTCAGTTTTATTAAAGCTTGTTTTTGCACCACACAAATGCAAGGACACATTTAACTTGACAGTAGTATTCCTTTAACCCAGTGGATTTTTCCATCCACTTAAAAATACTTTTCTTCTGTTTGTAATGCTTGCTTTTGCACAAGGATGCAATTAAGACAATTTAATTCTTCAGATGTATAGCAAGGCGCCTTATTCTCTCTTAGGACAGCCAAAAGGTCTTAAAATGTTTATTCTTCTCTGACTAATTTGGAGGCAAATGTTATTTATTTAAATCTCACTTGTAGACAAGCCTGTGACTTGAGTATTGTTCAGAAGTGAGGCAACTCAGTGAGCAAATTTCCCCATCTCTCCCTTTGCCTCGACTCCCTTGCACCACCAGTTTGGGTGACCACAGGGGGCTTGCGCAGGGGCTCCTGTCCTCCCTTCCCGCCATGCCCCCAGGACTGGTGCGCGGGGCAGGCTGACAGCCAGGGCAGTCCCCCGCAAGGGCTCGTCCCTCTTCCGCTGCTCATCGCTTGCGTTGAGGCGCGTGGCCCTCCAGGCTTCGGGCTAGCGCGTGGGCTCGGGGGCAAAGGTCAGCCAGCAGCAACTGCTCTCCGATGTATTTGAGTTTCTTAATCGATGTTGAAAAAGCCTTTCTAGTGAAAACGGTATTATTGCTATCTACTTATTTGTGGCAGTGTTTAGGAGCCCTGAGAGAGGAAAGCATAAAGGTGGCCCCTGCTGGACCTTCCGCTGAAATGGATGGCTTAGCTTCTAGTCCTTGGAAAAAGTAGTCATTGATTTTTTTTCCTTGGTGTGGGCTTTATAAAAACTGTTTTGTACTCTGCAAGTACAGGTGGGCTCTTAGCATAGCAACAGGCAAGGTCTAAGAGCACTACTTCCCAGCTGTGTAAAGCAGCACAGATGATCACAAAGGAGGGATCTCCTCAGGGCAGAACCATGTCAAGGAGGCTTTACGCCGCCTTGAACAGTGGCTGGAGTGTAGACTAAAATAAAATGCAGTCATCTTTGAGCCGCTTCTCCCAGATGATGCGGGGGAAATTTCCATCTTGAGTCATATGTTATGACAGTCATTGATCTATGGAATAAAACATTTTGCAAAAGGCTGGAAAAATAAACAAAGTCGTATTATATTCAAAGAACATAGAAGGCATGCTCATCTGATGCTAAATGTGGTTATGCTGCCAATTTTGTTTCTTACTGGAAGTAGAAACAGTCTCTGAGAGCTAATCTGTTTATAAGCTTCCCTATTCTCCATAGCCATAGATTAATGTCAAAGTATAGTAAAAGTAGAGCTGAAAAGGCAGTTCCTAAAAGCTTTGTGTATTTACAATGAATATTCCAAAGCTTTGTCCAGATTTTACCAAATGAAAAGGAGTTTGACTTTTTCAAGGTTTCTTTCTATCACCTGATAAATAGACCTAAGAATAAAACCAGTGATTGGGCTTTTTTTGGCCTGAATACAGTGTCTTTTTTAACTGATTGCCTGAGAAAAAGGAACATTTGCTGGAAACAGAACTAATCTTTGAAAATATCATTCCAGATTCAAAAAAGGAGTATGTGTTTTAGCAGAATTCACTTCTGAACCTAGCATTTTATTTGTGAAAAAAAGATGAATTAGCAATTTCCCTTTGAAGCTGCTGTGGAGAGCTGAGCGATCGGTATAGCCGATAATGGCGCAGGAAGACTCCCGGCACTCCTGCAGCAGTGACTGCATTTAAAATGTCTGCACGTGTTCCAGATACCATTTCTGACACTGATGTCTGGTCCAAGCCCCAACAGCAGAGAGACAAAAAGTCTCTTAGTAACGTCAATGCGCTTTGGATTAGGCCTTCTTTAATTGGAACCTGCTGAAGCGTGGTACTTTTACTACCTCCCTTTGAAAAGCAGTCTTTATGGATTTGGGGCAATAAAAAGGGAAGGGGTTTTGAGGGTGTAGTAAGCACTCTAGGTTATGGGGTCCTCTTTTCACTGCCTCAAGTGCTACTTTGCACTATTCACTTCAAAGTAAGCATCATGAGAAAGGAAAAAGAACAGAGAGTGGAGCCATTCAGCAAAGGATATCAGTATGTTTCCAAAACCAAGATCATTTTGAGTTCTGGAACGTGAATAATCCCCTAAGAGGTGGGATTTGATGGCTCAGGAGACTGTTAATAGATTCATGGAGTTTTCCACCTCGAGATCAAGGATCCAAACCCACATTGACCCAAAACAAACGCAACCTAGTGGCAGTCTGTGCAAAATGAACTACACATTTTCTTTCTTCTATCTTTAGGACTTTCATTTCTGACCTGTGGAGCGCCAGCCCTTGCTATCAGCCTTAGAAAAGGGCATAGAGGATTGAACGAGCCAAGTACTTGAACTGCCCTCTGCCC